TGTGACCGCCCTGTGAATTAGTGGTAAAATTCAAACCCTTGCACTTTTTGTCCGGATTGGAGGAAGTCATAAATTGTCAATCACCGGAAAATCGGTACTATATCTGTACTTCATATTTCAGATAAAGATAGATTTCCTTGGTGCATTCTTAATCAGCATATCTTTTTTTTATCATTCCTAGTGCTCCTACTAATTTAAAACAGCTAACCTTATCATTAAAAATAACAACCCAACTGCAAAATCAAAACTACAAAGAAAAAACATTATTTACGAGTTCAAATGCCTCTTAAGGAACCGTGTTCCTCATCAAACCAAACTCATAGATAATTACATTGGTCACACTACTACATGCCTGTTACATCTACCCGACTATAGCTCAGTTGGGATTCTGTTAAACACGCACGACAACCTACTAAACTCAATCCGAAGCTGATGTAATGAATATGAATACACCTGGGTTCCTCCTCACAGTAATATGATTGGCTGGTGTCAGCCATAAATACAGACTAATATGGAGGTACAGGGACGATGCCTATTGTCTTCGCCTATTGCCTAGGTCTATTGCCTACCACTACGATTGTCCTACTCGGTTACAGTAGTCCAAAACCACTGTGCTACTTCAAACAAATATATCCCTTTCCGGGGCATATCAGAAGCATACTAGCAGAAAATACAAGTATAATAACCTCATACACGTGTAAAAAAAAAGAGATACAAAAATAATAGAAGCCCTAATAATAAAAAACCAATACTCAATAACATTAACTACGGCCACGTCCACAATGTGCTGACCATGTTTGGAAAATAAAACGTTCTTATAAATTCAGACACATACATAAAAAATCACACATTCAGTTAAAAATAAAAAATAAAAATAAAAAACGCTCAGATATGCAGAACTTTTGGACAGAAAAAGAAAACACTTGTGCAAACACAAGAACAATTAAATAAAAAGCTTAATCGTAGTACCTTGTCCATCGTCTTTAACGAAACGTATATATATATATATATATATATATATATATATATATAGATAGATAGATAGATAGATAGATAGATATAGATTCCAGTAAAAATTGCGCTTGAAGATGGAACAGAGCTTAGTACTTTAATTCAATTTAATTCAAATAATTATATTGAAGTTTTCGGCTCTTGTTTTGAAACATGAGAACTCTTATGTAGCGTTGGAATCATATTTTTAAATAAATAATTATATTTATGCTCTACTTTTGTATCGAGCACTATTTTTTAAAAATAATAACAAAATACTAAAGAACTTTTTATTTACCTAACGAGTTCTTTCCTATTTTCTATATATTTTTACACACGCACACACACATACACACACACACACATATATATATATAAATATATATATATATATATATATATATATATATATATACGATTGCGTTTACTATGAAACAGAATATCACCACCTCTGGGTGTTGGCTTCAGTGTCATATATATATATATATATATATATATATATATATATATATATATTATGTTCATATATGACGAATTCCCCGGCGATTTCGACGTATGAGGATCAAACAATCTCATTCAGTTTTTATGTTTGTGTCCTTTGTGACACTTCAGCCTCACTAGGGCCCGGCATGCAAGCCCACGTATTGCGCAACAGCGAGAATCTTGGGACATAGCAACAGGAATATTTGCTGACGCTTTTCGCCGTTGTCTTTCGTCTCTTGGCCGGCCAATTTCAAAATGTCTAATACAACTCTGGTATAAATATCTCCAGTTATTTCTCTCCGGGGTAACACACTCGAAATATGGGGCACATTAACAGCTGAGAGCTTACCCTTTAGCTTGTCTTTATACCTGGGCCACGGCCTTCCGACCCTTCTTTGTCTACTGCAACTCTGACTATACATGAGGATCTTAGGTATTCTGTCGTCACTCATCGATGCGGTTGCATCAAGAAAGTCTCAGTTCCACCAATGTTACATTTTGCGAAAAGATCAGCATTGGACAACCTATCGTGAAAAGTATAGCCACATAGCGGAGACAACTTTTCTGGAAGACATCCAGCTGATTGATATGAGACCTATATAGGATCCACGATTCTGAGACGTACAGCAGTGCGGTCAAGGACGGCTGCTCTACAAACACGTATTTTGGCGTCCAATTTGATACCTCTCTCATTCCATAGGCGGTATCGAAGCTTCCCAAATACACTTGGAGCTTTGGCGATCCGATTTGTTATTTCATTATCAATGGAGGCATTTTGATTTTTTTATATATATATATATATATATATATATATATATGAATCAAAATGCCTCCCTATAACCCAGTGTGTCTGAAGATTTTAATTTTTTAATATTTTTTTATTGTTCAAAAGCTTCCCAAATACACTTGGAGCTTTGGCGATCCGATTTGTTATTTCATTATCAAGGAGTCATTTTAATATATATATATATATATATATATATATATATATATATATATATATATATATATATATAAATCAAAATGCCTCCTACAACCTAGTGTGTCTGAAGATTTTAATTTTTAATATTTTTTTATTCAAAAATATATATATATATATATATATATATATATATATATATATATATATATATATGCATATATGTAGGAAAATAGGAAAGAACACGTTAGGTAAATAATCCGGAGTTCTTTAGTATTTTAATTTTTAAAAAACAATGCTCCATACGGAAATAGAGTTTAAATTTTAATTATCTTTTAAAAATGTGATTCCTTCGCTACATAAGAGTTCTCATGTTTCAAAAACGAGAGCAGAAAACCTCAATATAATTATTAAAATTAAATTGAGTTAAAGTATCAAGCCCTGTTTCATCCTCAAGCGAAAAATGATTCCTAAATTTTCGCTTGCTTCCACACCAGTAAAAAAAAAAAAGAAAAAAAATGATGCTTGCTCATTTAGTAAGATTTGGGGGAGTTCGTCAGGCCGACAACCCTTCAACACATTTTTACACATTCTCAAACCAATCTATGCATTTCGTTTCGGAAAGTTTACAAATTTAGCAAACAGATTAAATTTAACTTTCGATTAAAAATAGAATACAAGACATTTCTTAAAAAGTCTTTTATTGGTCATGAATTTTTATTAATAACAAACATTTAAGACGCATAAAAATTGTTATACATACATACAAATAATGGACTCTCACTCTCCCGTCTATATATATATATATATATATATATATATATATATGTGTGTGTGTGTGTGTGTGTGTGTGTGTGTGTGTGTGTGTGTGTGTGTATTTAGGCAGCAAATTCTCTTTTAGGCAGGTCTGATTAAATAAATTACAAACGTTACGTTTGCTTATTTTAAATGCAACTGATGACATTTATTCTTTATCATTCATTAGAAAATGAAAAAATGATCCACTATGGAATTTTTTCTTTTATGTTGGAAGGTGATGGTCAAGCGCGCATTAAACCGTGAAAAGTGATCTTTTCATAGGCATTTTAGGACATTATTACATTATTCGTAGCTGATTTCCGTGCTGGCTTCAATTTTTTAATGTACATTGCTTCAAGGATCTGTAGTTTTAATTTGTTATTTTCTTGGTTAGTATAGTTGTGTTATCAATCAGTATTTTTCTATACTGTGAATGTGGACAGGAATGCTGGTGTAGCTGACTTGCAATGGACGAATGGTTAGACATGTGTAGAGTAAGACGTCTTGTAAATGTAGTTGTCGTATATCCAACACACACACATATATATATATATATATATATATATATATATATATATATATATATAGAAAAAGTTTCAAATTAAAAATTATAATGTTTTATTTTATGAAAGTATTTATTTATATATATATTTGATATTTCAAATTGTCCTCAATTTTTTCATCAGAAATAACTGTTTGTTACAAATAAATTAAAATTACTGTTTGTTAGCAAGTAGCGTCCTTCTTGAGACGCGGACGTCACGTGATATGGAACGTCACTGTTCGGATATTCCTAACTTAAATCTAACTGTCATAAATATATATATATTGTCGGAGATACATTCTCCCAAAGCAAAAAAAAAAAAATCAGTAATGGATAGGTACAATGGATTTGCTTTACCAGTTGCACCCCTGATGGTGATCTCAGGAAGAGATGGAAAATACTTGAGAAATAAAATTGTTTTTTACTGTTACAGTGCATTTCTTGCGTCATTTGATTGTAATACACAGAAAAATATCCGTGAATATAAACGGATTATACTAAAAGTAAGCAAACATAATGTTTGTAATTTATTTAATTAGACATATAGTTTTTATAGCATGCGAGATATATGGAAAAATGCGCGCAATATCAGGAACATAGACTATTTAAATATAAACAGTAAGAACAGAGGTTTCCCCCCCAAAATTAAATAAAAACTTAACCGCAATACTTTCTCAATTGTATTTAATGTACCTTGTATAAAAGTGGGGTTGCTGCCCAAATACACACTTATATATGTATGTATGCATGTATAAAAATGGGTGTATGCATATGCGTGTACCTTTTGTGCGTCCCAGCGTATGTTTATGTGCATCACAGGGATGTATGTTAAATAAGTATTTTATCATATATATATATATATATATATATATATATATATATATCAGTTTAATTGAGGGTAAGTGAATAACAAAATAGAAAAAATCTTTGTGACGCGTTTCGTTCTGAGCAAGGACATCTTCAGACTAATAACGTTTTCATTTATAAACAATCTGCTATATAAAAGTGGGCAGAAGAAGAGCTTTAATTTTAAATTTTAATGTTCGATGTATCACAGAACGAAACGCATCACTAATAATTTTTTCTATTTTGTCATTCACTTATCGAAATATATATATATATATATATATATATATATATATATATATATATATATATATATATATTGTAACTGAGTGGGTGTCTCCAAATATAAGCAGGAATAGATTCTTCGTGATGCTGTAATCTCAAATCTGGAGCAGCATAGGCGATATGGATAATCGGCCATCATATTCCTAAAAAAAATAATAAAATTATATATTTAACCAATAATAAGTAAGATTCAAGTACAGTGTTTTTTGTATGGGGATAAAGCCACTAAGACGAAAAGCGGTTGGTACTGAGTGTGAAAGAAACGAAGTGAACGCAATTGAGGATAAAGAACAAAAAAGAACATGATTTTTTAATTGAGAATATGACGACGTACGTTGCATTTACTTCTTTGAAGATCAAAGATGACATAAAAATAAGAAGCCGGAAGTGAGTTCCAGAGGTGAGGAATGCGAATGAATAAAACTATTAGCATAGAAATTAATGTTACATTTAACATTTATTAGTAAAATGACGAAACTGTCATTCTAACACTCCGCTTAAATTGCTGAAGTTGTGGAACATTAACATTAGGAACCTTTGACAGGGATACAGACTCTATGAAGCTTTGACAAACATTCAGACATTAGAAGCCTTTGCCAATTATTTTCGTAATACACAAGGACGAAGGATTATGACTATATGGATCTTTGACAAGAATTTAGAATATACAAAGCTTTGATAAGTTTTTTGAATATAGGAAGCTTTGACAAGGATTTCGTATATAGGAAATTGACAAGGATTTTGAATATGGGAAACTTTGACAAGGATTTTGTATATAAGAAACTTTGACAAGGATTTTGTATATAGGAAACTTTGACAAGGATTTTGAATATAGGAAATTTGACAAGGATTTTGTATATAGGAAACTTTGACAAGGATTTTGAATATAGAAAATTTGACAAGGATTTTGAATATAGGAAACTTTGACAAGGATTTTGAATATGGGAAAATTTTGACAAGGATTTTGTATAAAGGAAACTCTGACAAGGATTTAAATTCAGAAATGTGTGATAATGATTTTGAATATAAGAAACTTTGTCAAATGGATACAATATACGAAGCGTTGACAATCTTTTCAACTATAGATTTTATTTACAGAAAAACTCAAGTACTTTGATATGTGAAGTATAACAAAATGCATTTTTAACTAACCTGAATTGTTCCAATTATTTTTCTCGAAATATACTGGCTCCATGTAACTCGCTGGCTTATGGTAGATGTCATCTATAAAGAAGCAATTATATGTCATGCTTGAATATGGTAAATAAGGAATTTAGTTCTAAAGATTTATTTCGCTTTTCTTTTTTACGTTAGCGAAAATTCTTATGATACAATAATGAAAATATTGCCCAAATCAAGATATCTTGGTTTAGTTTTTAAGTTCTTCTGGTATCAATACAAATGTATGTCGCAAATTGCTTTTATAATTGCCCAAATACTTGTTTGTTCCGAACGTCTTTGCCTCAAATGTTACTCATTTTCGAGGACCATTTCTACTATAATATTAAAATGCTTTATAATAAGGGCTATATATATATATGTACGTGTGTGTGTGTGTGTGCAAAATTTGTACGTATATAAATATATATACATATATATATATGCATACATATATATGAAAAATGTTTATTTATATAAATATATATATATGTGTGTGTGTGTGTGTGTGTGCAATTTATATATATATATATATATATATTATTAATTATATATTATATATTCATGGTACTTATCGGAAAGCGCTCAATATCAGTGATAGAGCTAACATATTTAGTTGGATTGATGTGAGTTTGTGACCCTGGGTTTCACGTTCTCTGTGATCGTCAGACACTGCCGGGTCACAAATACATCAGTGCAACTATATATATATATATATATATATATATATATATATATGTGTGTGTGTGTGTGTGTTTGTTTGTATGTATATATATATATATATATATATATATATATATATATATATATACGTGTGTTTGTGTATTTAGGCAGCAAATTGTAATAATGTTGTAAAATGCCTATAAAAAGAACAGTTTTTTCCCGCTTTAATGCGCGCTTGACCATGACTTTCCAACATAAAAGAAAAAAATCCATAATGGATAATTTTCCACGTTCTAATGAAACCTAAAGCATAACTGCCAGCCGTTGCATTTAAATGCAAAAAGAAAAAAATCAGTAATGGATAGCTACATGTAGTTTTTGCCTTACTAGATGCACCCCTGATGATGACCTCAGAAAGAGATGGAAAGTATTGGGAAATAAAAGTGATTTTTACTGTTAGTGCATTTCTTGCATCATCTGATCGTAATACACGGAAAAATATCCGTGAATAAGAACGGATTATGTTAAAGATAAGCAGACATAATGTTTTTTTATATATATATATATATATATATATATATATATATATATATATATATATATATGAAGAAATATAGCTTTAAGGCGTGCTATATTTATGGGATAAAGTGCACAATAACAGGGATAGAGCGTATGTAAATATAAATATTAAAGTGAATATTGAAGTCAACACTTAGAGGCGACAAGCTGTTTCATGCTCGACGCAATCGTCAGGCAGGTATATATATATATATATATATATATATATATATATATATATATATATATATATATAGTCAACACTCAGAGGCGACAAGCTGTTTCATGCTCGACGTAATCGTAATCAGTCGGCCTGACGATTGCGTCCAGCATGAAACAGCCTGTCGCCCTGAGTGTTGACTTCAATATTCACTTTTTTTATATATATATATATATATATATATATATATATATATATATATATATAATATGTATGTTTATGATATATTTAGTACCTACGTGTATGTGTGTGTGTTTGCGTGGGGTTATTTTTCAGCCTTACAATATTTCTTACACAATATGGGGTACCCAACGAGGCTCGATCTCATCATTTAAGAAATGTATATAACAGCTTGTTTAATATTTTTACGCTCTGCACTCAACTACTGCATTTATAGATTTCTCTGTGCGTTCAACATCGGTTGCTGTCATCCCTTCGAAGAATGACATTTGAGTTCCCAATAGACGGTCCAGGTCGAAACATCCACTCGAGACAGCCTCATTCCAGCCACCACTTTTATTAAATATTCAGAGAATTCCTTTCCAATTTAGGCCTCGAAGCTTCTAGAATCAAGCATTTCATTACAAAAAAAGCACGAGATCCTATCAAAAATTAGCGGAGCTGTTGCTATGGTAACGGGCTAAAGTACGCAGAGTGAAGCTGCTTCGCACTGATTGACCCTGGATTCTGTCGCATATGCACACTATTATAGCGTTCTCGTTCACTTCCGGTGTTTATATCAGTGCTTGGAAGGAAAGTGTGTAGCGTGTGGTCGTCTGATATCAACACAGAGGCCCCATTTGTGAACATAGATTGTGCAGCAGTTTTTGGCCATAGACAACATTCCCCAAGTTCAACAACTACCATATTCCCCAGATGTCGCCTTTTGCGAATTTTTCCTCTTCAAAAATCAAATCCTGATTGAAAGGAACAATATTTCAAGATATCAAGGAAATTCAAAAGAATGCGACGAGGCTGCTTTCTCGATATCTCTCCTCACCCCCAACAAAAAATGGTTCCAGGAATGCTTCCATCAACACAAGGTGCGATGAGTAAATTGTCGCCATCCTATATTTTTAATTTCGAGCATGCTCATTGTTTGTTTTTGATTTTGTCGACTGCACAGTATAGTAGGGTCAGTTGGGCACCGTCTGTAAGATAAAGCGCGCCATGGCGCAATTCACTCTGCCAGAAATATGGAAACGGTATGCTGTACTTCTTGGCATTCGCACCGGAAGCTTCAATACGAATAAGTGTTTGGGTATCAATCTGAGAACAGTCAGGGGATTCAGAAAGAGTTGGATGAGTCTAATGGTGATTACGAAGATGCTTGGAGTAATCACTACTGATGGCGACAAAATGCCTCCATTCATCTTCCCACAGGCAAACTCTGACTCAACACGGAGGCGTACATCAAGTGCTGGAGGGGATAATGCTGCCACGTATCAAGAGGGTGACTGATGGAAGACCCCGAGTCTGGCAACAGGACTCTGCACCATGCCACGTAGGAGAACCCAGTCATGGCTGTCAGACAATTTCTGCGACCATATCACACCAAACATTTGGCCAGCTAACTCCCCAGACTGCAACCCCCTTGATTATTATGTGTCGGGCGAAATTGAGCGAGAGACTAACAAAACTCCTTGTAATACCAAAGATGAACTGAAGGCAAGAATTATGGAATCATTCACTAGCTTAAACAAGGAGACCGTCCAGAAGAGCTGCAGGAGATTCCGAAGTCGCCTGGAGGACGTGGTTAAAGCTAATGGCGATTTTATGGAATAAACTTACTCTTTAGTATTTCAAGATATTTTTGTGTAATTTTGGTAATTATATCTGTTAAAAACCCAACAGGAAAAGAAACATCATATGGTTCAGTCGACCGTACGGGGTCTCAGGCTCAACACGGAGCCCTCTGTCAAATGGCTTGCTACCCTGTTTCAAGAGGGTGGCTGCTGGAAGACCCTATGTCTAGCAACAGGTCTCCTTTGGTAAATATATCTATTAAAATTAAATGTCAGTGTTAGTTTCATTTTTGCGTAATTTAGACGACAATTTATCCATCGCACCCTGTATATAAGAAACCGGATAAAGTGAGTGTCTTAATTAGGGGACTATTTCGAAGGAGATTAAATGCCGAATCGATATGTGTTGTAGTTTTCCTTTTATAATACCAGTCCTGATACTTTTTTTTTTTTTATCAGACCTCGTATAAAGTAATATTTTAAAAATAATTTATTTTTTAAATCCAGTCGGCCATTTTATTCCTACCGTCCTGTCCGACTGAATGTATCAACCTACCTATGTGTGACATGTCATTTGGGTACATTTTCTCATTTCTCTTGGCCATCACTAACAGAATGACTTTCCTGAACGGGATGACTATCAGCAGGGCTGTAGCATTTACAAAGTTGCCGATGGCGACGGCTGGATCACGAAACACCGGGTTGGCCAACGTCGATACAACCATCCAGACGAGAAAGCAGCCACTGGTGCACAGGCAGGCAATGACAATCCATCGAGATTCGAAAGAATTCTTCTCGCTGTCCCAGGCCAAAGCCCCGAAGAGGATTGTGACCAAATCGAGAATGATGATGAAAATGAAAGAGAGAGCCAGACCGGAGTCATATGAGCCGACCGGAGTGCACCAGGAAAAATCATGCTCTTGATATAAGACTGAGTTTGCGCCTGGATTTACCGATAACAGGTTGACAGACGAAGGTTTAACTAATAATAACCACTCGACAGGAATTATGACCTGGAAAAGAAAAAAAAAGAACACATCATGAAATTAATGTACATCCTTGTGCAAATTAATTGAAACAACCGCTTTAGTTTCCTTTCTTTCACCATATCATTTGGCAGGGTTAGGGTTAATATCGAGCCTGGGGTGACAGGGTGTAATCGCTGTCTATTTTTTTACTCAGATTAGTTCATTTGCAGTAGTATCAAACTATTTTCGGGGTGTATGATGATATTTGTTTTGCTTTGAAAAATATTGTGTCACGCCCTGACACTATTGTCCCGACTGTCGATTAGAAGCATACGAAAATTGTAATGCTGCACGAACACACAGGCAAGCCGTACCAGTAAGCATATCAAAGTACTAGACTGGTTCAGAAACTCTCCTGGTTTAAATCTAATCGAGAATCAATCTGCAAGGGACGACTTCGTAGAATGAACATACAAAGTACTAACATGTGCACGGGGTCATATTTCATTGGAAAAATATGAAAGGAAAGTAAATAATAACGGAATTATTCGTTTTGTTTCAATTAATTTGCACAATGTTCATATTACTCAGTAAAGATATTGTTTGTGAAGGAAAATCAAGCAATGAAACTCCGGATGAGCTGAAATTTTATGTTATCTGAAGTTATCACACTCTACTCGATGAGTTTAAAGGACTGCGAGCTGGGAACAGTTCTGCACCTATGGGAACAATTGTTATGACGCAGCAACGAAATTGTTGCATGCAAAGGTTTCAAACTTGGAAGGAGCCCACCAGAAAAGTCTACAGTCAAGAAATTGTTGCAAGTACTGACTGGTTCGGAAGATTCAAGAATAGATTCCAAATTCATAATGTCTGAAAGTGCACCTGAGGAAGCAGCTTGTAAGTTTGTCGAGGAGTTTTTTTAGACCCCCAGCGAACTTACAAATGAAGAGCTAATCCCACTGGAAGAAGTAAGAAGAGAAAAAGGGGGAGAAAGCAGATGAAGCTCTAACTAATAAACCGGAATTATTACCTGGGAAAGAAAAAGAAAGAACACATCATGCAAACAGAGAATGACAAGGAATTGGTAAGAATAAGGAATAAGGTTTTCAGTTTACTTTTTAAGATATATAGATAGCAATTAGGCCTGGTCAGTAAGTAGATGTGTGACCACTTGGGAATACCAGGTTCTGTAAGGTTGAATGTGAGGGTGGTGTAATGTGCTTACGGCCATATCACGCTGAAACACCGGTTCTCGTACGATCACTGAAGTTAAGCAATATCGAGCCTGGTCAGTATCTAGATGGGTGACCGCTTGGGAATACCAGGTGTTTTAAGCTTGGATGTGCGGATGATGTAATGTGCTTACGGCCATATCACGTTGAAATACTGATTCTCCTACGATCACCGAAGTTAAGCAACATCGAGCCTGGTCAGTACCTAGATGGGTGACCGCTTGGAAATGCCAGATGCTGTAAGCTTGGATGTGAGGGTGATGTAATGTGCTTACGGCCATATCACGTTGAAACACCGGTTCTCGTACGATCACCGATGTTAAGCAACGTCGATCCTGGTCAGTGCCTAGATGGGTGACCGCTTAGGAATACCAAGTGCTGTAGGCTTGGATGTGCGGGTGGTGTAATATGCTTACGGGTATCGGCGGGTCTTGCTATGAAGCCGCTTGACACAAATTGGCCTTGAACTCTGTTGCGTGTATACATTGAGTTATAACGAGGCAGCTGCATAACTATCCCCAAGAAGGCAGTTCTAGAAATGTTTCCATCAATGGAAACATCGCTGGATAAAGTTTGCTGCTTTAAAAGGGGGACTACTCTGAAGGAGATTAAATGGCGAGTTGATAAGTATTATAGTTTTTTTTTATAGTACCTACCCTGGTACTTTTTTTGTTTCTCGTGGAACATAAGTACATATCAAAAGACCGATTGGCATTCAATATATTGACTCCTTTCCTTACCTGCATCAAGATGATGGCGACTGCAATGAGGACAAGACATAAGCTGCTTGACAGTCTCTTGTACCTTTTCTTGTCGTAATTTGAATCACCCGTTCGCCAATTGTCCACGGCCTTCACCAACAAACAGGCAAAACAGATGGCATAGACTACGCCCATGCAGAACCTGTTAACAGAAGAAATAAAGAGGGGGCATGAAGAGAAGAAGAAGAAGAAGAAGAAGAAGAAGAAGAAGAAGAAGAAGAAGAAGAAGAAGAAGGGAAGCCAAAAAAGGAAATTTACCATTAAGGGATAAGCAGAAGGTTTATCAGTACCGAATAATCTTCTTGCACATTTTGAAGGACTGGGTCGAAACATCGAACGATTTACAAGGATTGAATAAATGTTAGGGTACCCAGGGTAAAACACACTACACCCCCCCAACCGAGTCTGTGACTTTGGAATTTTTCTTAAAAAAAGAAACCAAGTTTGCATTATTTACATAACTCGGACTGTTATCCTCATCTTCATAGCCATATTCACAACGTTTCGTTCATTGTACGCCCCGGCCTTCTTCAGGTGATAAGCATAACGATACGAACCCTTTATTTCGTCCACCGGAGTAGATTGTTCTAGATCCACGTGCCATGCCTCTTCCGGGTTTCTCAGTTATTTCCCTTTAACTCAACTCTCCATGAGAACACATGGCCCAGTGGATGAAGACGTTGGTTAGATGCAGTGACTAGACTAGTTGTGAGTTCAATACCAGGCCACAGCAGTGGTGAACCAAAAGCTTGGGGGGGGGACCAACAGTAATGATGAATGTATCATCCTACCGATGTTTCTTGTACATAATACGACTTGAGTATATTACCAACCCCATGTTTCCGAGACTAAAATCATGGAATAAATTACATCATTAAATATATTACCACACCGTGTTTCTGATGCTAAAAACATGGAATAAATTACAATCTTGGGTCCAATACGACTCTTTACTACAGACATCACAATGTAATTTTTTTTAAATATTGCCCAATATTATCCAATAAAATCTCATTGGATAGCGTCCTGTCCCGGGTATGACGATAAATTATATCCGCGTCCTGGGTATATTCCTATAGTGTTGTTCGAATCTTGTTTAGAGCGAACATCATTGTAAAAAATATTAAGCGTTACCTTCCCCTCCTATCCATATAAACTGCCTCTTAATTCAACCCTCTACCTCGAGTGGCTCCTAGGCCTTGTACAGGGTGAACCTTACTGTAAACAAAAAAAAATATCAACCAATATTTCTACAATCTTAAACTGTTCAAGTCGAGAGTTAACCATTACCTTTCCCTTCCTGTCCATATAAACTACCCCTTAACGTAACCCTCTACATCGAGTGGCCCTTAGGCCTTGTACATGGTGAACATTAGTGTAAAAAAAAAGATTATCAACCAATATTTTTACTATCTTAACCTATTCAAGTCTAGAGTCAACCATTATCTCCCCCTCCTATCTATATAAACTACCTCTTAACAAAGCCCACTACCTCGAGTGGCTCCCGGGCCTTGTACAGGGTGAACCTTACTGTAAACAAAACAAAAATATCAACCAATATTTCTACAATCTTAACCTGTTCAAGTCTACAGTTAACTGTTATCTTCCCCTCATATCAACACAAATTGCTTCTTAACGTAACCCTCTACCTCGAGTGGCCCCCAGGCCTTGTACTAGGTAAACACTACTGTAAATATATATATATATATATATATATATATATATATATATATATATATATTTCACTAAAATATTTCATTTCTCACAATACAAAAAAAAATAAAACAAAACCAGTCACGTTTTGTTTGGTTTATTTTATTTTACGCCAATCTCAATGGGTTATTTAATGCCGATATGATTTTCGGATAGGTCCGTATGAATAGAATATGTATTCTTTTTAAGAAATCAGTTTGTAGATCAGGTTTCATTGACGTACTTTTGTAAAGAGGACTTTTGTAGAGTCAAATGTATTGCTGGTGATATTGTTTTTCAATTATGTAGTGCTTATATTTTTACTATAAAAACCTATTTTCATGCTTTCATAGTATTTTAACCCTTGTTTTGGGATTAAGTATTTTCCCATAGCTGAGACCCCTAACAGGTGCTACCACCCCAAGTCAGAGTGGGGCTGGGAACAACAGCAATTAAGAGGTTATTCCACACTCCTCTAAACCTCCCGATCAAAGGCCTTGCTGCCGGATGTAGTTTATCATCATACCCAGAACGACCAAACCAGTCAAATCCAGAATGACAGATGTAAACAATCAGCTAGCCGAAAAACAGACGATTGCAATTTCCGATCAAATTGATAAAGATTTTCCTACATTTTGCTTATATATGCAAATTTTTTCCTAGCACTTCCCGCCCGTGTAACTCCCTTCCGTTTACTCGCTTCCCGGATGAATTGTATATAAGAGTTAATCTATTCATTCAATTCTTTAGCACTTACCTCCGTGCTGCACAAGTAACCAATGAAGCTGGGACGAAGAATGCAAAATTCACGCCATAAATCCCCATTATACCAATAATAAAGATGAAACCAAGGGGCGTTGTCCCGCCTCTGATTGGATAAGCTATTAGCAAATAGAAAAACAAAATTAGCGTGACGATTATACCGACCGTTGTGAAGCCGGCAACGATGATGGCCCAAAGTGACCAGTCGTAAATTCTCTTGTTGTTCTCGTAATGAAAGTAGTTTCGAATACGGGATGTCAATTCGCCAAGCGATATGAAACTGACAGAACTCTGAGCTGTTCCGGCGTTCCCGTTCGAAAATGCCGATGTTGAGATCTTAACGTCATTGGCGCATTGACAATTCTCGCAAGAGGCGACAACGATTTCGACATTTTTGTTGTCGATAGATTTTAAGTTTTCGCTCAGTTTTATCTGAAAAAAAAAAGAGATATAAAATTCGAACATGGATTTGATACAGGTAATAATACAAGTAATATTAATTGTGTGCAAAAGTTACCAGAGATTTTTTTAACTTGATATATCTGTTTAAATTGATGGAATGAGAAATTGTCATTATTTACATTGTGCTCATCTTTGCTGTTACTATAACAACGTTTCGGCTATTGTGCCATCCAGTCTTCAATGTTTGTCGGTCCGTGTAGCGTTCAGGGGCAATAGCTTAGTGGAATTTGGTGACGAGAAATTGTGGGTTCAATCTCCGATCCGGGCAGTCTGTACTTGGACTCTGTGGAAAACGGGGATGCAATTGCTTTGCAGTATTAAATAAGAGCTAGTCGAGATGTCTCTAGACATGATTAACAGAATAAGAAGAATCTACCCACCCAAAGATTTAATAAAGGGTTCAGTTTGAAACTTCCCAAAGGTTACCAGAATCGACAAACGTTTTATCCGGAGAGCAGAATGGCCGAAACGTTATGATAATAACAACAAATATGGGGATAACAGTCATCATGGAAATAATTCAAATAGAGATAACACAGGTAAAAGCTGTTTTCCGCAAATAATGATCATAATTACCTTCCCCCCACTCTGTCACTCATTCTCTCTCTCTCTCTCTCTCTCTCTCTCTCTCTCTCTCTTTCTCTCTCATTCTCTATATATTTCACTATTTCTATCTTTCTATCTTTCTCTCGAAATCTCTCTCTTTCTATATTTCACTATTTCTTTCTCTATATTACTCACTCTATCTCTATCGTTCTCTTTCTCTCTCCTTCACTCTTTCTATCTTTCTCTCTCATTCTCTCTTTCTCTTCCACTTTCTCTCTCTTTCTCTCTCTTTATATCTCTCTCACTTTCTCTTTCTCTCTTAGTCTCCCTTTTCACTCTCTCTTTCTCTCTCTTACACTCTTTCTCTCTCTCCCTCACTCTTCCTTTACCTCTCTTTCTATATCTCTTACTTTCTCTCTCACTCTCTCTCTCTCTTTCTCTCTCGTACACTCTTTTGCTTTCTCTCTTTCTCTCTCACTCCCTCTCTCTCTTTCTATCTCTCTCTTTCTATCTCTCTCTCTCTCTCTCATCCACATACACACTTACTGTCTAACCCAGTGATTTCAACCGGTTTGTGGCACAATGGTCTGATGATTGTAGGCGTGCAGCGAAAATTTTTAAAGTTCATAAGTTAAATGATTTTCAAAAGAAATTCAAAGCACAATAATTGTACATATCAAAATTAAAACCCCTTTAATGGGGTCTTGCTTTTTTTTTTTTTTTTTTTTTTTTTTGTTTGTGAAAATTTAACCAGGCTACTTACATCATGAAACTTGTAGGATTTATCGGATTTTCGCAATTCCTGCAAGACATACTTCGGCTCCCAAATTCGGTCAGTGAAGTAAAAATAATCAAGATTTGGATTTGTCATCACTTTCTTGTTGATATAAAAACTGGTACTGTTGAGAATCGTTTTGAATTTTTCACGTCCCTCTGGCTTTTCAAGTTGGCACTCAAGACTCTGCGACGACTTGCATTGTGTCGTCATTCTTTCGATGGCATCTGTCAGGGCAACGGTGCCTAATACCGTCTTCAGAACGATCGGACTTGTCAGATTTAACATATCATCGGAAATGGTTTCATTTTGTGTACAAATCTGTCAATAATAAGAATAATTATTATATTAATAAAGGTATTCAAAAATTTGACGTGCAAAGAAAAAAATATTAGCAGAATAACTTTAATGAATAGTACGGGCATCACGACTCATTCGAGCCACTACTTTAGCTCGTCGACAAACTTGTTATTTGTCCAATCTATGTACTGTAAAAACAAAATAATTATAAACAGGGGATATTTACAGAATAGTGACGACGTCAAAACCCGCCGAAACCACCACTTTAGCTCGTCGACAAACTTGACATTTATCCAAATTATGTACAATAAAAGAAAATAATTATAAACAAAAGATATTTACAGAATAATGAGGACGTCAAAACCCACTGAAACCACCATTTTAGCTCGTCGACAAACTTGCCACTTGCCTAATCAATATGCGATAAAAAAACAATTATCAATAGAAGAAATTGACTGACTAGTGAGCTCGTTAAGACTCACTTGTACCGCAACCTTAGCTCGAAGGACAAACTTATCACTTGTTCAATCAATGTGCAGTCAAAGAAAATAATTATCAATAGAAGAATTTGACTGAATAGTAAGGTTTTTAAGATTCACTTGAAGCACCACTTTAGCTCGTCGATAAACTTGTCACTTGTCCAATCAATGTGCGATCAAAGAAAACAATTATCAACAGAAGAAATTTACTAAATAATAAAGTTTTCAAGACTCATCTGAACCACCACCTTAACTCGTCGACAAACTTGCCACTCGTTCAATCAATCGGCGCTCAAAGAAAACAATTACCAGCAAAAGAAATATATTGAATAGTGCAGTCATCAAAACTTACTTGAATTACCACCTTAGCTCGTGGAAAAACTTGCTACTGGTCCAATCAACGTGCATTCCGTGGACATATTAATAAACACGAAATGTGAGGCAGTGAAAATTATCAAATATTTGTCAATAGCAAATCTATACGATCCTGTGTTAACTAACAAAAATTCTTCAAATTCTTGAAGCACTTATTAAAATAATAACATAATTTGAATAAGTTTTATTTTAATAAAAGTGTTGAAAAATTGAAACATCAACTATACTGGACTATTGGTTTTGTAAAATAAAGTTCAGGTTCGAAATATTGAAAAGATATGTGGAATAATGAAATGAATTCATCGCAGAAATTCGAAAACCACTTATATTGGTACTGGACTCATAATATTGAAAAGACTTGATCTTAAAGGTTCTGAATCGAAATATTGAAAAGATTTAATGCCAAAACTTTAGACTTCAGTTGTGAGGACACTGGGTCGAATAAGGTGTGGCATAATGAAATGACTTCCTCATCTCAGAAATTCGTCAATCAGTTATATTGATACTGGACCAATAATATTGAAAAGACTTATCTCAAAGCTTCAGATTCGAAATATTGAAAAGATTTAATGCCAAAACTTCGGACTGCAATTGTGAGGACACTGAGTCGAATAATGTGTGGCATAATGAAATGACTTCATCATCAAAAGAAATTCGCAAAGCAGTTTTACTGGTACTGGACTAATAATATTGACAAAAATTTATCTCAAAAGTTCAGACAACATTTATGTATTTAAATATACTGGACTAAATAATACGGAGTCTTGATAAGAATCATCTCAATAGTTCATATTTTATTTATAGGGATATTATGTAAAATAAGTTGTAAAATAATGAAATTCATTTCATAAATTCAAACAAATACAGAGAAACCTCGGCGGTTCCCGAACGTTTCACATGTCGAAGAAATCGGTTTTCGAACAGAAAATTCGAGATGAAAATGCCTCGGTTATCGAACAAAATTTCGCTTCTCGAACATTGCCGAACCTTTCCGACCCGAACCGAACCGAGGTGAACCGAGTCGAACCGAATTAAGCCGAACGAAATCATTTCTGAGTCGACCGCCATGTTGTATACATTCGTGTGTGTGCTGTACTTTTCTTTTCCAATTTTATCGTAATAACGCCTTTTATGTAATGGAAAAAATGATTCGGTTCTTGAACAATTAGGTTTTAGAACAGACTTTCAAAACAAATTATAGTCGAGAACCAAGGTTGTTCTTTATTATAAATAAACCACTTTAAGTAACAATAACTAATGTTCCTGTGCTATATCCTGTGTTCTACGAAAGCGCTCGACTCTGATCGGATATTTAATATCCCAGATTCGGGCACATTCGTATGGTGAAACTTAATACATATAATACTAACCTTACTATTTGGCGGTAGATTGTAACTTGGCAGACGACATTTATGGATTGTTTCATAAAATTCATCAAACCATCCCTTTGGTATGCCCATTTGGTTGTTATATTTCAGTCTCTTTACAAAATCTGAAAATTCATTGACAACTGCCAATCTGGGTGTAGCCGTGATAACCACCAGTGCCAAGGAGGAGAACTTGTCGGCCATTGCAAGCATCCAGTCTTCAGCGCCTAGAATTATATAATCCTTAGTTTTGGGTGAGGGAGAAGCCGCTTCCATTGAATATAGGACTGTCTCTGCATCGGACTGGTTAGTCAGTAGTACAATAACCTTATGACCCTTCGTCGCGGACATTGTTTGTATCGTATTTGAAAGGAGCAAAGAATCTCCTACTGAAACTGCTTTTTCGACACATATATTTTCACGTTCCATACTTTTCAAGAACGCGTTCAACTGGACTAAATAGCCAGCATTTGGCGAGAAGAACACCACTGTATTTTTAACGTCCTTGGCTTTTAAAAGTTTGATCAGAGTTTCGACCCTTTTCAACTGGGTGCCAGTAGACCGATAAAGATTCTCAAAAGTATCGTCGGTTTGTAAGCGCGGGCTCATCGCGTCCGGACTGAGGTAAGCTATGTTTTGGGACCGTAAAACTCGATTGGCAGCGATTGTATTTTCGTCATGCATCGTCAGAAACGTGTAGATATTACCAGCTTTTGCGGTCACTTGCTTTTTGAAAAGGTCATCATAACACAAAGAACCTGAACTCAAGATGCTGTACACGTCTTGATCAACTTGAAGCGAATGGCCGCAAATGTCCAATACCACACTAACAACTGACATTTTTCTCATCTTTTCGATGGCGTAGAAGAAAGCAAGCATGTTGGTAAAATCGCCATGGATGTCTAGTTTTCCGCATTGGAAAGTATTCTGGCCTTTTGAGTGGATATTGAAAATTCCAACAATTGTCGGTTTGGCACTGGTTGCAATTCCGGGAGGCCATACCATAAAACGCTGATAAAGGTTCCGGAGTAAGGTACATTCGGAACAGGCCCCCAGACGATCGCAATTCGCATACCAATTTGCGATGGGTACTTTTATATCCAGAACACCATAAGAGTTAGCTGTGGCAACCTGAAATGAATAAAAAAGCAGAAATATTAA